TGGCCCTCTGCTGCTAGAGGTACACAGAAAGGAAACAGGAGTTTCCGATTTTCTGAAAAATACCCAGAGTCAGCTCTGACCTGAAAGGAGACGCTAGCATCTCACCAGATAGAGATGGGACCAAGGTGGAGGAATCTGCCCTTGCAGCCTAGTGGAGAGTACCCCAATGTCATAGAGGTCCATGTAACTGGGTCAGGTTAATTTTTGGTCTCCGCCTTTCCTGTGGAAGAAAAGTGAATCAGCCAGAGGTTTCAGACATGCAGAGGGAAGCCCAGCTAGCTTGTCTTTTCATTACCTAAAAGAATGCTGAAGTTCACTAGCCCTCCACAGTGCTGTGACCAGTTAAGAAATTAGAATGTCACCATGGGAGGCTCATAGAACTGGAGAGATTACAGGTGATTGAAATTCTGAGTGACAAAGACTTAAGATCCTAGAGAGAGGGTCCTGAGAGGAACCTCTTGGAGATGAACCTGAGTTCAGGTTGGAAACCTGTTCAGGTCAAGTTTCTCAAAGGATGAGGAATCTCCAAATGGGTAAAAGATACCTAAGGGCAAGCAGAGTAAGAGCAAGCCCTAAGTAGATCATCTAGGTCTTCCAACTACTCTCTTCACTAAAAGCACCATTTATTTGTTCTCAAAAATAAGGCACCAGAGAGACTGAGGTCAAAAGGAGAGGTTCAGAGGTTCAAACTAACACTCCTTATTAGTGGTTGTGTAAGAAGATCTCTGCTGTTCAGCATGGCTACCACTTTGTATGATAAGCATCACCTAGTCCTTTGGGGACTCAGTGTTCCACTGTTGCCCTGACAAGAACTCTTTCCGAGCCAGGGGCTTTGGGACAATTGAAAGTGTCCCCTATCCTGTACGTTCATGCCTGGGTTATGGAGCTGCATGCACCAGTGGAGCAGAACACACTAAATTCCATTCTTAGACAATGTACTCACTATGCTTAAGGCATAATGTTAATGGATCGATCTCATCTTTACTTTCCTCTAAAAATGAAGGAAGGAAGTAAAGAAAGGAAGGGGGAAAGGAATAAAGAGAGGAAGGGAGAGAGAGGGAGAGAAAGGAAAGGAAAGACTGTGTAATTTATGTGGTCAAATACATCTGAGGGGAAAAAATGGCAGAAATTCTTCAAATAGAGGCTAGGATTATAGCTGAGTAGTAGACAGTATGCCTTGTATGTGCTAAAACCTAAATGTGGTTCTTAGGTGCCATGGTGTGCGTGTCCACACACGTACATGTGCACCCTTGTATGCATGCATGCATGCATACACACACACACACACACACACACACACACACACACACCAAACATGTCCAAATAATTGCCATCATTACTCTACTCTAACATGATACAAGCAAATTGGTAAGATGAAGCCCTAAGTAACCAAAATTAAGAAGAAAAATCTGAAGAAATATATATTATTAAAGTAAGGAGTAGGAGCTGGCTGCTAGGTGTTTACCAGTATCAAACTTGCAATGGGTTGCAAATCCTTTCAGTAAAAACTTCTTGAGAATGGGTCAACATTGTGTGGTAGCAACCTGGAAGCTGAGGAAAGGGGCCTACTACTTCCTAGCTTGCTTTTCCAGCTCTGGATCTTAATCAAGGCAATAATGATGTGCAGAAAGATGTCTTGGAAGATTCCTAAAGTGACATTATCTGGACACTAGTGACCTCCTGGAGTGTGGAACAGGGAACCAGGAGAAACAAGAGCACGGCTGTTCATAGAGATCTCTCTAGCTTCGAGGGTGCCAGATTGGCATGGTTGCTTCATGCTCTTGTAGGCTATTTTGAGTGGGCAGGCACTGGCCGAGACTAGAAGGCACACCACCAAGTTTCCCCTTAGATGGGGCCTCAGGCAGCCTGTCACCATGAATACAATATGCTGTGGCCTGTTAATTCAATTACACCACCCCCTGAAGAATGAACGTGTAGCCAATCACTTTCTAGAAAAGTGGCAAAACAGAGAAAGAAGAATTAACTTTGCTGAAAAGCCCAGTCTTTGGGTCAAGCAAGATGCCACTTATTAATTGCTCAAGACTATTAATTGGATGAAAGGGAAACAAGAGGGAGAGATGTCTGACAGAAACAAATCCTGAGCATGCATGTCACATACAGAAGGCACCATACATGCTATACACCTGTCTCAGTGAATTTCTTTACAAAAGGGGCAGGCTGAGCAACCCCTGAGCAGATGGGAGGGAACACTGACCAGTATGTGCATATGGCACAGCCTATTCCCCCAACTCTCCTTTCAGGGGAAAACAGCTTTCCTTTTTAAGCTGACATAGGTGGGAGTTAGCAGTAGCCTCATTCAAGATTCCTTTTGATTAAGATGCTGGTCTAAGGAGTGGGGCATGAGGGTAAAGTGAACGTTTTCCAGTGGAGCCTGGGAAAATAGATCCTAAAATAAAAAGCAAGCAAACTTTATCCTTCCTGTTTCATCTGCCTTAAGTACATTTATTTATTTCATTCCCTGTGATATTTAGTTTTCTCCAAGTCCAAGAGTATTCAACAAGTACCATAATGAAACCCTGGATACACTTTATCTGAGTTCTTAGAAGTCACTCAAGCAAGTGAATAGGGTTGTAAAGTAATAGGGATGTACAACTGCCAGTAATTCAGTTACATCCTGATGTATTCAGACAAGAGAGCCAACAAGAAATCATCCTATGATAGGTAAGCTTAAGACCAAACCTGATTACCAAGAGCATCATAAGGTTCCTGAGTGTTGGGCCTTTTTATGGCTCTTCTCTTGGGCAGGAACAAATGTATGGATCAAAAGCACTCAACAGCAACCTGTTTAGGCAACGATGCTGTCCTGAGAGTCCTGGTTGTTCCCAAGGGAGCAGGATGTACATCTTATCCTTAGACCCAAGCTGGAAAGGAAGGTACCTTTGTCTTTACTGGGGACATTCTTGATAGCTGGGAGAGGAGTGGTGGGGTTTTGAGCTTGCCTGAGAAGGTATTAACCTTTCTTATTTGAGCTCAGACTACTTGAGACACTAACATCATCCACCAGAAAAAGTATATGGTCATTCACAAGGTAACCAGCAAATCCTACACACTCTTCTGTGGAAGAGACTGAACTTTCTCAGGGACAAGATTTATTTCAGGGTAAGGTCATAGACTCAGGCCCCAGAACATATGGACTACCATGGATGATCACATTATTTATTTTCACTATAGGTAAGCTATAAAGGCTGGACACAGACATAGCAAACAAAGACTCCACTCCAAGTATTTGGGAGCACAGCTCCCCAATGCCAACAGCTCTCACCACACCCCTCCTAATTAAAGATGAAATTGAATTTTTTCTTTTCATCTTCATTGACCTCTCAGTCTTCTGACTTCATTAGACCACAATGTGGAATTTCAAGGAGTGGGGAGATTAGGTGCACCTTGACACAGATGCAAAGCTGATGTGAGCAGCTGACCCTGTGTGGGACTGAGGCATCTTGGATCTCCATTTCCTACAATGCATTTCAATTTTTGTCATGTGCCTTTGTCCATTTGTATAGTGCGAAAAGCTCCAAGAGGCCGCCCCAGTTACCCCGCATGAACAGATCCTAATAAACCCTCCCAAACCCCAACCAGGAAAAAAAAAAGAAAAAAAAAACCACATGCCTGTTTGCCTGCGGCTTGTTATTAAGACACCTTCTCAGCTTAAACACTTAAAAGCTAACCAAATGAAGTAGCAATTAAGACTGAATTACCCCTTCTATCTCTGAGATCAGCCTGTGGGGCCAGCCAGTCAACCAGCTCCCCCCACCCCCACCCCTTGGGGATAGGCAAGCTTGCAGATCAGTGGACATTGCAAAGCCTCAGTATTTTGAGCTTATAGTCACACCATCCCCTTCAAGGCACTAGATAACTCAATGGGAAAACCTAAATTTTGGATGAAGGCAGAAAACTGTTTGTAAAACTGTTTGAAAGTCCAGAAATTCACCAAAGAAATGGAAACCTATGTGTGCTGCCTCCTTCCTGTTCTCTCTTTGTAAAATGTAACTTCCAAGCTTTTAAAGGTTATTTGGGGAATAAAAGTGTTTAAATGCCTCGTTCCACTGCTAAATGGTCCTCCCCAACAAGCACTGTTTACAAAATTAGGAAGAAGGAAAACACAAAAGAGGAGGAAAATGGATTGGGGAATGAACGACAACATTTTCTTAAGTGTGGGGTCCCCTCACTCCCCTTTATTCTCTTGCATTTTCCCTAAATTCTTTGCCAGTTGTACCACCTCTTTATGATGGGAACTTGGGACTGTCCATCATGGTTATTTATTTTAAAAACTGCTGAAAAAGTGTAAGCCACCGCCTGGTGCTGCTTTTCAAGCAGGAGAAAGAACCCAAATTCAATGTAAATACGGAAAGAACTGTATTGTTTTCATTTGGAAGAAGGCAGAAACCCCAACTGGGCAAGATTGATTCGGATGCTTGTTGGAAAAAAGCAGCTTTCTGTATTTAAGGAGTGGAACCAATAGGAATGAATACTTGGTCATGCAAAAAAAAAAAAAACATTTAATTAATATATGTTTCTATCTGTTGCATACAATTATTGGGGCTAGCTTTCTATCTTCACAATAAAAATGTGTGCAAATGCTCTCCACAGAGATGAGTCCCCACCTCAGTCGGTATAGAAAGCATGATAAAGGTTGGAAAAAATGGATAAAAATGTTGAAAGAACCTCCAGTTCCTTATTAGGCGAAGATACAATATTTATTCCTTGTCTCCTGGGATAAATCTCTTCTGCCTATTGTCCTCCCAGTTCTCAGTGCTGATGCTTAATTTTCAAAACTTCTATATTACCAAGGGACCTACGACATCAGCCAAAGAAATACTCAGCAAGTACAAAATCTGTTCCAGGGAGCTGCTTTTGTGCAGAGGGAAAATTTTGTTCCTACAGGTTTTTAAGTGGGTACGAGGCAAGGAGCTATCTGATCCGGGCAAAACCATTACAATTTAGATCTCTATCTGTAGAACAATTTTTTCCTTTAAAAAAATTGGAAAATACAAGAAGTTTTGGATTTTTTCCCGATTCTTTTTTTGGAGGGGGAAATTGCATCGTAAGCTTTTGGAGAAACCCAACATGTCAACTACCTTTCCGGGACTAGTCCACGATGCCGAGGTATTATTACTTTTTTTTTTTTTTCCTGGAGCGCGCGCGCGTGAGTGTGTGTGTGAGTGTGTGGCGGCGGCGGTGGCGGCGGTGGTGGCTGCTTCCCCTGTCTTTAATCTATATTGGACCGTTACGTTTAATTATAATCTGGCTTTCGGGGGAAGTTAAGGAAGGGAAGGGGAGAAAGTTCGCTATGACATCTGTCGCCAGGGAGGGCAACTCTCCTCCATGTTAAGAAGCACTTGCCATAATGAGGGAGAAACATAATCCTAATAATAAAGGGGGGGCGTTGAAGAGAAAGAGATAGAGACAGAAAGGATTCTCAGGAAAGCAAAGAAAAGGGACTGGTAAGGGGTGGTAGGTGGAGATGGGGGATGGGAAGAACGCGCTCCTTTTGGAATGGGCTTATTCAAGGAATGGGACACAGGGGGAGTGTATCGAATTCCCTGCCTCAAACGGCTACGAAAGTGAGCAATTTGAACGATTTCACAGATTGTTTATGTATATATATATGCGTTATATATATTTTATATATAATGAATTTTTTGAGAAGCCCTGGACGAAGCTTTCGGCGTGGCCAGGCGGAGCATGCAGGTGCTGGGGTTTGGGTGGAGTTGGGAGACTCAGGCTAGCGCTCACTGAGTGCAGAGTCTCTCCTTTTGCTCCCTGAGGCCCCAAGTCCCTTGCAAAACTGGTTCTAACGCCTGACTCCCTGCAAGAGTTGGGAAGGGGCCGTGTGTGTGTGTGTGTGTGTGTGTGTGTGTGTGTGTGTGTGTGATGTCGCCCGCACCTATATAGATCGGGTGGGGGATTTCCCCCCCCCCCGCTCTCTCGACTGAGAGGACAAGGCCGCCCACCCCCAGTTCTACTGTTCGCAAAGGCTCTTTGGCACAAGCGCTCACTGAGCCCGGGCTGCTTTGCCAGAGCCCGGTGTGCTAGCAGCTCTCTGGGTCCTTAGAGAGCCAGGGAAAGCTCTAGGCTCTGGGAGAGTGGCGCCTTGGTTGCAAAATGACAAACCTCAAGTTTTTCTGCTCTCCCTTTTCCCCCTCTTCCTTCCAGATACGTCACGACGGATCAAACAGCTATCGTTTGATGCAGCTTGGCTGTCTGGAGTCCGTAGCCAATTCCACTGTCGCCTATTCCTCCTCCTCTCCTTTAACTTACTCCACCACCGGCACAGAGTTTGCATCCCCTTACTTCTCCACTAACCACCAGTACACCCCGCTCCACCACCAGTCCTTCCATTACGAGTTCCAGCACAGCCACCCGGCGGTCACCCCCGACGCCTACTCTCTGAACTCGCTTCACCATTCGCAACAGTACTACCAGCAGATTCACCACGGGGAGCCCACCGACTTTATTAACCTGCACAATGCGCGGGCGCTCAAGTCCTCCTGCCTGGATGAGCAGAGGCGGGAGCTGGGCTGCCTCGATGCCTACCGCCGCCACGACCTGTCCCTCATGAGCCATGGCTCTCAGTACGGAATGCACCCAGATCAAAGACTCCTGCCAGGGCCCAGCCTGGGGCTGGCCGCCGCGGGAGCCGACGACCTGCAGGTAAATAAGCATGCAGAGGATTTGTCTGTGCCCTCCCCTCCTCTCCCTCCCCCTCCCGCTCCATTAATACTCTGGCTGTAAGCCTCTCTCTCTCTCTCTCTCTCTCTCTCTCTCTCTCCCCTC